CCTGCAGTCGGGATAAGGACACCATTCTGAAAACACCTCTTTGCATCTCTTGCCAGCACCTATTCACCCGAAAAAACCCACAAAGATTTTCATGCAGAGATTTTTAATAACTTGAAAAGGAAAACATCATTCTCAATGTCATAGTACCACAGGTCCTGAGCTTCTCATCTTATTGTTAGACACAACTGCTTTCTTTCCCCTCCTCCTCATTCTAACAGAAGCAACAGTATTTAATTTAATCCACCCAGAAGCAATGACAGAGTCAGCAGCTGATATACAGCTAGTGCTGGTTAGAACTCTGAATTACTGTTTTGTGAAGAATGTCAACATTTTGACATTTTTTGCTATTCTCAGGGTAGAAAGGAACTGCATATTCATCTGAAAATTTTGAAATGTCACACTGAACTTGCAAATTCAACTCTGAATTTCAGAATTTCACCTTCTATTTCATTTTACATTACCTTTCAGTCTTTTTTAATTCATTAAATGCCAAAGTAGAATATTTTCAATAAATCTTTTTAATTTTACTTTGTTTTGTTTTATTTGAGCATATTAAAATGGGAAGTCACTGTCCCACACTGACAGAAAAGCAACTTAAATCATAATTTTACACTATCTCCAAATTCCATCCACTGAAAATTTTTTGATACATGACTTTTGTGAAGAAGACACTTGGGTGAAGACATAGAATTTTGGGTGAGGAGACACTTTGGCGGAGGCAAGCAATGCAAAGCAAGCTGCCTGCCTTTCTCCACAAGTCAAAAGCAACACTGGGAAGGAATATATCCCTGTGACAGCAGGAGGGAATCTGGCAGACCGCTTTTATTCATCTGCAGAGAAGGAAAAATTTCTAGTCACTGAATTAACAGCAAACAGCAAAGGAATTAGTCTCAGTTCAAACACAAGTGCCGGAGGTATCTCCTTTACGTGAGTGATAGCAGACTGCAAAAATTAATAAACCAGTACAAGAGAGGTGCACCAGTCACAGCGAAGGGCACTGGTGAGCACACATTTCTGAGGCAAAGATGAAACTTCCAAGCAAATGTCTCCATCACAGGTATTAAATCAGTGGAAAAACTGACAAAAGCTGTGTAAAATGAGAAAACAGCAAGCTGTCACAGTCCTTTTTGGGCACTGCAAGCTGCATGAGACCATGTCAGGGCTGGGTACAGCAGGCAGCAAAGAAATCATCTCCAGCAGTGCGGGAACCACGCAGTGGCTGAGGTCTGCTAGTCACGAGCGGCCACCACCAGCTAAACCACGCCACAAACACCAGCTGCCTCATTAAATCCTCCTGTTTACAGTTATCTCCCCACTTTTCATGGTGCTCACCTGGAAAGGTGTGCAAAACGGAGGGGCTGTCTGAAGAGGAGGCCATGCTCCATATGATGCCTCTATAGCTGTGAATGGGGATGATGGGACCCAGGGCTGACCAGCTTAAAGAACTGGGGCACTTGTGCCATGTCTGGGAGAACAGACACAGCTACCAAAGGGACATTGCTCCCTTTGTCCTTTCAACAAATCTGCAGCAAAGGAACGTGGATTTGGATGCTGTACTAAATCAGAGCGACAAGACACTTCTGTCCTCACCTAATTGGTAAATTGCTCTCAAGAGATCAATGTTTCTGCTAAGATTTCCACCATTTTGGACCAGAACCACAAAGCTCAAATGGCTTGAGTGGTAGCTAGTCTAGATGTTCAAAACATGAAGGTCCCTTTAGAAGGGACTATGCTTCCCAAAGCCTATGAGTAGAATTAGGAGATTAACAGATCTAGGAAGATCAGATCTCCCAGAGCCACCCCTCAAATACACCAGGATATACATGAGGTCTGCTCCTACAAATCCATTTGGGAGATATGATAGTGTCTCAAAAATGCTCAAACGTGACCAAAAACAGTGAAAGGACCCAGACCTATTTTTAGATATGAGAAATCAACAAGGGTTTTCATTGTCTTAACCAGTCCAGCACAGAAACATTTGGTGATAGATGAGTGGTTGGTGGTGGGAATTTACCAGTCCTGCTTTGGCCACAGGGCAAAGTTCTGGGAATGCTCGACATCAGAAACTGGCTTTGTCAAATGTCGACTATGGACATCTTGGTGCCAGAAATGAGTGTACCTAATGAACCACACTGGCCTTGTGCCCTCTGCCCTTTGGGAGAGGAGAAGTTAAGAGAGAAGCTCCAGATTTTGACTTGGTCTGAACAGGCATAGCAAGAGCAGGAGAGGAGCCAAATCGTTTCATGAGAACTCTGCTGCTACTCCTACAGAAGTCCCCACCACCCACCATCCAGAAGAGAAAGCTCATGAGGTTTTTTGGCTGTTGAAGCACATATAGGTTTAAATGAGGACATGCACTCCACCAGATCATTTCCTAACGAGGACTCGGGCACTAATGCTAGACAGGGTGCTGCAAAAGACTAAAATGCCCAGAGGCTTCACATGCATGACTCCCACTCCTTAAGTGGCCCAAGGACAGAATGCAACACGGAACTTGTGTGAGTAAAACTCATTGTTTTCAGCAGGCTTTAAGAACCAGTACAGATTATTTGCTGTTCCCATACCAATCCAGATTTATTTTGGATCAGCAGCGACTTCAACTTGATTAGTACACAGCAAAAAAAAAGCAGAGCCACAGTGTCATAAACCTCTTCCTAGCAAGAATGTCAAATATATACCTTTTTTTTTACCCTTTAAAAACACAACACAAATTTAATGAAAAACTTTTGCCTCTCACAGTGATAGATCATGGTATATGTTAGAATTAAGGACCATGAACTTTTAATCTAAGATAGATTTGCTACAACATCCTTAATAATTTGCACACAAACTGTGTTTAAGATTAGGCGTGCACTTTTCTGAATACATTTAGAAATTCTTTGATATTTAAAAATCTTTCCCTAACAAGAAGAAAAATTCCTAAAGGTCATCTTACATTTTATGTGATATGTATTAATGCTTCTTACCCTGTTTCCTTAACTGAAGGAAAGCTTTCAACCTTGAAAAGGCAAAATACAACCAAATGCAGAATCATGTGTGTGTAGGAAAAGACATCAAAATCCACATGATAGCCAAGTCAAATTACAGTGACAATTCTCCCTAACAGACATCTGGCTCTAACACAGGCTTTTTTTCCCCTTTCAAATAAAATAATTCCCAAAGTTGATTTTATGAATGAGTTATTCCGCAAAGGAAGAGAACAGCATGTGGTAAGGCTGGACAACACTGCTTTAAAGGTAATGCCTGCCACCAATATGTTACAGAAGACATGTGTAGACTCAAAAGTGAAATAGGTAAGAAAACAGCTATTCAGCAGGTTGGAGGAGAAAGTAAGTTTCTGGAGGGATTTATCATCAAGCAGATGATAGTCTATTCTGCAGAAGAACTGAAATTATTTTTTACAGAGATACTTATGAAGTATTTTTGCATGTGAATTTGTAAATGCCACGTGCACACACACCAATATGTATATATAAATATATATCGGCATACATGAAACCCCAAACTTGAGCTAAATTAAATTGTCCTTCCAGCTTTGTAATGCAAATGAGACTAACAGGCTTGTGCTGTTTGTGGTTCGAGATGATTTGCGTTTCCATAGAGATACTGACTGAACCACAGTTTTTAAATTTTTTATATATATAAACCTACTTGTATCTATAAAAGTCTAAATATGGATCTGCTGTACCTCAGCATTTCCTCAGTGACTCCACTGGAACCACAACAATTTACACCAGTTAAGGTTATGTGCAAATTTTGTGTCTTTCACTACTTTTCAGTTTAAGCTGTGTACCAAATACCTGCAGAGCTGAGAGTTTATTGCTTCTCTCCCTGCTTCAAAGCTTCTTGTTAAGAAAAGGGGAAGAAAAGAGAAAAAGCAGTTTCTTAGCTGCTAGTAGATAATATTTCAAGGACTTCTGTAATTTCTTGCCCTCTAAACTGTGAGAAATATCTTTGTCTTTCAAAGTTCCCACTGCCAGGAAACCTGGAATTCAGGGAATACCATCTGTGTGCTGTTAGAGAAGGAAATGATAAGGGGACAGGCTTTCTGTTATGTATCAGAAGCTTTTTCCCCTTTCTCTGTGAGCACCTACAAACTCAAGAGCACGGATATACTCAGATATGCCAAGGTGGGCCTGGGCAGCAATAGCATCATTGTCTCCCTACCCCACGCTTTGTGGAACCTCAGCTCATCATACACAACAAGGGCCCCACAAAGCTAAAACACCTCTGTCCTCCCAGAGCCACATCAGAGACGGCCACCACCAGAAATGACAAAATCCAGGCAGGATCAGCTTGGGCAGAGAAACCAGGCAGACCAACTTTTAACTTTCTATTTCAAATTGACTTCACTTTGTGAGGTCCAGGCACTTGTTGAAGTGGATGGGGGCCACCCGATGTACCAACATTGGAGAGGAAAACCAGAGCCGAGCTCTGTGGGGACTCAATTCCATGTGGTTTCAGTGATAAGTGATCTTTGAACAGCGACACACCAGAGGACAACCTCTGCAATCACTCTGAACCGCAATCAAAACCAGCCTCTTGTGTGCCTCCCATCTGCCTGAGGACAGGGAGGATAAACTGTTGAACCAGAGATGTCCACAAGCTCATGAAGCAGCTCATACCCAACCTCTCACTTCATCTTGGGAGTGCCCAGAAGAAAGGCTCCAGTTCAGCAATGCCTTACGGAGGGAGGCATAGCCAGGGAGCTCCTTGGGCAACAGCATGTCACAGGGACAAAGCCTCCCTTCCCTCCCTCCCATGGGCTGACATCATGCTTCCACATGTGACACCATCTCGCCATTGGAGGCTGATGGTTTTTCTGGCTCTTCAAACCAGATGACAATTCTCTATTTCCGGATTTTAAGAAGCCATATGTAGGGAGACCTGCCCCACACCTCTGATAGCACTGCCTTAACCCCCACCACCATCCAGGGAGTGTCCCAGGCCACGTTCAGCCATGTGGCATTTGTCTCCCAGTGACCACTGGCATCTCTTACCTTCTGCTGCAGGGTGGGCACCTGCGGGGCCATCACCGGGTCTGTGATGTAGGTCTTCTTCGTGCCCGGTGGCTGGTAGAGCCCAGGGGGAGCCTGGCCCATGGCATTACTGGCAGGGTACGCCGGCTCGGCCTTCCAGGAGCTCTGCGGCACGTAGGGCGCTTCGGAGCCGTTCCTGCCGCCGTACCCCCCGTAGTAGGGGTCCTGGTAGCGGCCCTGCGGGGGCGCGTATCCGTAGGCAGGCTCGGCGGGCCGGCCGGCCGGAGGGCCATAGCCGTAGTTGGGCCCGTGGGGCTGTGGCGCTCCGTACTGAGGGGCGGCGGGCTGGCGGGACGGCGCGGTGGCATAGGGCTGGCCGGGCCCCAGGCTGCCATAGTGCCCGGGCTGCGGGCTGGGCGGCTGGTAGTGAGGGCTGGGCTGCGCCGTCCTCACCTGCACGTTGAAGGCCGGGCGGCTCGGCGTGGAGGCCGTGGCGTAGGAGGCCGGCACCGGCTGCGGCTTCAGGGTGCCAACGGGAGTGACCGGGATGGGCGCTGGCTGCCCTGGGCCCTTGGCAGTGGACTTCTTGGTGGCGGTGAGAGGAGGCTGGTTGGGGATGATCATCCGCTTGTGGCCAGTGACAGGAGTGGACACGGATGGGGTGGTGGCAGCGGAGCTGCTTGAAGTCCCAGAACCCTGGAGAGCAAGGAGAGAGACACAGGGTCAGCAGGAGGGGTCACTCGGGCACTGGGGTGGAAATGGGGGTTTGCAGAAATATCTGTGCAGCAGTTCAAACTGCTTAGGAAAGCAGAAATAACTTAGGGCCACGAGTTATAGAATGGTAATAGCAACCTTCCCCTGCTCTGACAGAACAGGGACGGCACCACAGCAGCCAGGCAGAACTGCCATGCATGGCATTTCATCTCTCCTTGGAGGCTTCTCCTCCGCCTCCAAACAAACAAACAAATTAAAAAATGATACATGCAAAAAAGAAAAAAAGGGAGACTCACTAGAGGATAATTAGGGAAAACCCCATGCGTTCCTATGAAAATGAGGCTGTTTTGAGAGAGAAAGAAAATGAGATTGTAGTCTCTATGGAGACATGAAATTCCTTGGGTCCCTAGAGCACCAGTAGGGTTCTGCCCCAGTACAGCAGCTCCTTTAACTGTGCAGGAGGCAGAAGATTGGGGTAGCCTGCAAGCAGGTCCCAGGCTGTAAGAATGAACTCCGATCAAAGCAACTCACTGAGCTGTCCCTACCCTGGCTGTACTGGTTGAAAACCTGGAGTGACCCCAGAAAAGTTAAATGCTACACCTGCTTCATTAAAGGACAGAAAGCGGGTCAGGATTTCCAAGAGCTTCAGAAGTCAGCTCCTACCATGGCAGCCATGTCACCCTGCACCACTGCCCCAGGCACAGCACTGCTGGGGCAGCCAGAGAAGAGGATCACAGCAAATGCTGTCGCTTCCTGCAATTTGGGCACGGAATGAAGCTTTGGTGCAGTGACGCCGTCTAATAGGCATTGTACATCCTTCAGTCTAATGTACTTGTTTGTCTGGCTTACCTTGCAATTAAATGTTCAAAAATACCAGTGTGAAAAGACATCTTTGTTAAAGAGCTAACAATGTGAAATAGTTTCTGAAGAACACTGACAATGACTCCTTATGTCTTTTCACTAAATCAGAGAAAAGCAAACTTGAATCTCTAGAGTTCAGGATTTGGTAAAATTTCTTGCTTCTCTATTTTCCTTTATTCTAAAAGAGTACCTGAATTTTATGCCTTCTACAGAGAAATGCATTAAAGTGAAGACATGCAGTTTGACAGCACTTAACACCATAGTTATATGAAGTTATATCTCATTCAAACCTCCTGTAACAGGCTTGATCTCACCCATGATCTGTTTGATAATTGTCAAGTTCACAGCAGCCCAAAGGCAGACCAGCTCAGCCTTCACCTATGCTTATATGCACTCCAAGGCATGTGCCACCTTTAAATGACCAACCCTGTATTTGTGCCCAGGTGCTCCTGCTTTATGCAGGCACCCTGACCTCCACCTACTGCTCCACCACCCTCTTGCTGCGGAGGGCATGGTGAGGACTCTTGGGGACATGTACATGCTGTACTGGGGCCAGAGAAATCCTGTGCCTGGTCAGCAGGTGGCGGCAATTAATTGCTGCCAAACCACCCAGAGGGGGCTGGGGGAACTTCAGCCACCCTGAGCCTCCAAGGGTTTCAAACTCATCCTCTGCATGGCGTGGGAGAAACTCATCCTCTGTACAAGGTGGCTGTGTCCCCCAACATTTGGTGACCACCTCATACAAAGAAAAAGAAGATAAGTGCAAGCCACTCAGCTTCTAGTGCACAGCCTACAAGCAATTCTACGCAAGGGATAAGGAAACTCTACCACCCAACTGGCAGCTCTTCCCTGGTAATGTGCAAATACTTTTTTGCTGATGCACTGGTAAAGACCCTACTCCTGCAATCACACCTTCAGGGCAAACCTCCCACAAGGAAACACTATAAATCAGCAAAAAACCCCAGGCAAATAAGAGCAGCAGTCAGTTCTGAGAGGTACAAAAGGTGTGTATTCAGAAGTGGGGAATAGAAAGGCAGCAAACTTCTGCTGGAGGAAAAACATCTCAATGTATTCACACCCTGACCTTGTTAACAGATCCATGACAAGGCAGCACATAGACAGACTGAAGAGATTTTGAAACTGAGAGCAAGGAAGAGCTGAAGCATGTCTCAGTTGAACTGCAAGGGCAGAGACAGGTTAAGGGTCTGTAGCCCTCCATTAATACTGCCCGATTCTTCTACCTCTGAAACACCTGAAGAGAAGCTGGCACTCCTCCATCCCTGCATCAGAACACAACTGAACCAGCACTCACTGCTAGCAAGAAAACTTGTTTTCTGTCAGAATTGTTCTCCCATGTCAGGTTGGCATTTATGCCTGGGAGTGCCAGAAACTTTCCCATTTCCTCACCTATTTCATTCTTGTAAATTATAGTAGTTTGTCCACTTACTGTAATGGGATGAAAGGTTCACAGTGCAGCACTGTGTAATTACCACCAGAAAAGCATTTTTCTTTTCCATGTGAAGAGGTAGAAGGTAGATAATGTTATAAAGACAATGGCCTGTCTGGGGGAGGGGGAAAGACCAAACCAGAACAACAAAAGCAAGCCCTGTTCACCACATTCTGTATTTCTGAATGCAGACTCTGGAAGCAGGTCATGACAGACACTACCAAAGCTCTTCTGATCCTATCTCAAGAACTGGGGGACTTTAATCTTACATATAAACATCCACATAACACTTCACTTAATGGGCTGATGCCAATCTCCTGCCTGGACTGGAATACACCTTACGAATGAATGATAAACCCTTCTTCCAAAAAAACCCCAAACTCTCACAAATCTGTGGACTGACACTGAGCAGCTCCCGTGTTTCACACTACAGAGAGGATGAACTGAGAGTATCCCCTCCTGCACCAGATTCTAGCGAAGAAAAGTGGCAATTTGGGGGGGAAGAGCCCAAACTTTGCTATCAACTCCACAGTGAAGGCCTGAGCTAACAAGTACCGGCTGCATTGTGGCATCAAACCACAGGCTGCCTTGAGGAGGAGGAAGTTTGCATCAGTAGGAGTCCCCAGAGGCGCCCTGCGTGACTCATTCTGAATTCCTCTGAGGGCACTGGGCAAGTGTGTGATGAAAGCTGGGGTTTAGGGGGGGAGGTGTAAGGCTAGCTGATTTGGTGTAGCAGAGAAATGGGACAGGCTACAGGGAATTTAACACTACTGGAGCATTGATGATTTGTGGGGACACAAGTTGGTTGTAGCTCTTGTGCAAGGGCACAGGTGAGGTATCACCATAAATCCTCTGCCCTTTTGCCTGATAGAGAGAAGGGTGGCCGCCGTCCAGCCATGCACTCAAATATCATCCCAGGCTTAAACATTAAGATTACTAATGGATTAAGAAAAAACTTCATACATTAACAGCAACTATGGACAAGATTCCTGCTCTGAGGATGGGAATGTGTGGAAGGATGAGAAAAGGGTACTCAGATATCACTAGAAGAGAGATTTCAACAGCTGTCTGGAAGGCACTAGGAGGACAGAAGGGGTTGATGAGGCTGTAAAGATGCCAGGTAGATGGAGTAATGAACAGAAGACTGGAAGGGACTATCTGTATCACTGGGTACAGTCTAGCAAAACAGATGACTGTCATAAATGTTTCATCCAAGTGAATCCATAGAACTTCCACCAACACAACGAGGTAGACGCATCCAAAAGTACATCAAAGTGACAGTACAGAAACATGAAAACAGTAGAAACAGGAGAAAGAAAAAGGAGAAAGAGAAAGAGTGAATTCATAGGAGCACAGGCATCCCTTTCTCCAGCAGCTCCTGGACAGCTCATTTCAAAACCATACTGCATTTGCAAGTGATTATCGCAGCCAAACATGCTCTCTGACATCCTCTGAGGGCTGTTTTCAGAGGAAGACAGGCTTTCCTCTGCTCGCCATGCCCTAATGAAACTGTCTGACACACTTCGCAAGTGCAAATTAAAACCACGCTACTTACCATCAACCCCTTCTTGCAAATTCGTATTTGCAAAGAGAGTAAACTAGAAACCCCAGGTGTTGATAATACAGAGTCGTTAAAAGAAACTAGAGTAGGAAGGAGTTAAATTCAGAACCTCAACTACCACAAGCATTATAATACAAAATCATTTTTTTTTTAATGGGAAAGCACAAGAGCCCTGTTTAAACACAGATGGAAGTACCTAAATGTACTGCCTCTTCTACAAATGAATTATCCAGCAGTTCAAGTAAAGGTGAACTAATACTGACAAAATCAAGTAAAACTCAATCAAATGTGGGAGGGAAAAAAAACCCCAAAACACTTCTAAAAAAGTTTACCATGTATAACCATGAGGGGAATAATGTTGCTTGGCAAATCCTGCCTTGTCTTCTTAAATGCAGAGGAGAATTATAAATATTTTCAGGAGTTTCTTGTACCAACCATCATAGGAAAAGTCTATGGCATTGTCATAACACCACACTGTCCAAGGGATATGTCTGTCAGAGCTGGGTGTCTGGATTCAAAGCTACCGTGGTGGGTTTCCCCGGTGGGGAAACCCAAAATCCTGAGTACCTTTGATTCTTTGTCCTGTAGAAATTATTTACATAGATCTTAAATTAAATTCAATATACATCTAAAACTAAAAAGTCATTGCATAGGTACTAGGGATGAAATCTGTTGTTCTACAGAAATTAACCTATAATTCTTTACCATTTGTCAGGGTTAAATTTTACAAAGAGTATAATCACAGCCTACAGCGTGAGCATGATTCTATATGATCAGCTGGAATCCATATGAAAAGGATCTCATTCTTTTACTTTGCACATTTGTAGAATTATTTTTATAAAATCCCTTCAGTTACTCAAGTTCCAGAGACTGAATCAAAAATGCCAATACAAAGTTTATCACATTCTATTCAATTCTCCAGACATTTTTTCATAAAGGTACAGTTGAATAGCTTTAGCCCTTTAGCTGTCAAATTATCACATATAAAGATACATTACTCCAGCTCAGTGATTTTCAACCTTTATGCTCGGCAGTCACCAAATGTTTTTCAGAGACAAGCTCCTTTATGGAGAAAGTTAATCTATTGACAATAAACATGGGTTTTTCAGTTAC